GGGGGGGGGTATTTAAAAAATAATATTAAGCATTTGAAAATATAAATAAAAAATAATTGTAATTAATTATTTCTTCTGTTGTCATTATACTGATATGACTATTTGGTCCAATTATTAACATTATTGCAAATTTACTTATACGTGCATTTCTAATGAGTAAATATCTATATTATTTGCAGAAATGATCATTCAACATAATAATTTTCGACGTAATCTACTTCCGGAAGAGTCCGACAGACATTAACGCAATACCAGTCATGAAGCCAATCCTGTACAGAGTCGAGACATACATCGTGCCCGGAAACGAGAACTTGTCGGTGATTAATGAGCTCGATGATCTCAAGATTGCGAATAAATTTAATATCAAGGACGAAAGCATATTCGAGAAGAATATACAAAACGAGGAAGATGCGTCGCTTGTTTCGCATAAGAAATGCGAGGAATTAGCGAGGTTCTCCGTCGAGAACAGCAAATTGATTGGCATAAAACTCGTGAAAGGTTTAGCAAGCGAAAACGAGACACCACGCGATGAACACTTCGATGACGATATCGTTAAATATTATAACGACGAGAACTATTGTCGTTCTAACGAGCGTATACCGAAAGCGGAGTTTCAAACATCGATTGGACCGCAGGAAGCATTGTATCCTGCGAGACAATTCAGCAGAGTCAACAGTTTGATGTCGATCGACGAGAGAAGCGAAAGCTCCTTAGACACCAAGGTGAGTGATTTCTGCCGTCACGGTTACAAGAACGGCTGCACCGCGTCGATACCGTCGCCCGAGGAGGTCAGTGAAGAGATCTTCCGAGAGAATTGGTTGCAGAAAATCGAGATCCTGAGGAATCGCGAAACTATCCTGAGAGAGCGGGAGATAAATCTGCAAAAGAGAGAGAGGGAGCTGTTCAGGAAAGAGAAGGAACTGAGAATCACGGAGAGGATTCTCAATGATAAAATGAAGCAGGCTGATCAACAGCTAAAACACCAAAGAGACACACTAGTGGGACAAAGGCTAGAGAAGGTGGCAAAAATCTTATCCGTCGACGTCGAGAAATCCGATAATCTTGCGAAAGAAACAACTCTAAAGAAAGAGGATGTCCCGAAGAAAGAAGATATTCTGAAAAAAGAAATTCCAAAGACAGAAGAGATTGCGATTGCGAGAAAAGAAGATATTGCAAGAAAAGAAGAGATTGCGAGAAAAGAAGATATTGCAAGAAAAGAAGAGATTGCGAGAAAAGAAGAGATTCTAAGAAAAGCAGAGATTCCGAAGAAAGCGGAAATTCCAAAAAATCCGCAACCTATCGCCAATCCGTGCGAGAGAAGAGAAGAATCTCATAAAAAGATGACAGTTCCGATGCGTTCAAATTCATCGTCGAGGAAGTCCCTTTCGAGGCCTCATTCGTATGCCAGCATAAGATACAAAGAACGACCCAAAATAAATTACGACGACATGAACTCGACATTGTCAGCCGCCAGCGTAGACACACCCAATATGCGGACGTCGGTGCTGTTCGATCCGACGCATTACAGGAAGCCAAATGCGTTCATGAGGACGACGAGCGAGAGATGGCCCAGGCATAAGGATGTCGCGGGGAGCCTGCAAAGAGTAGTCGAGGAGAGACCCGAGCATGTGTTCGAGGATAAAATCTTCCAGAAGGTCAGTGATAATATATGCGCTTGGCAGGAGAGGCAGACGAAGTTTCAGAATTACGGACTCGTGGACTTTCTTCCGAGGGATGTCCCAAGCAGAACGGAACGTAATTGCGACAACGAAGACAAGCTATCCTCGTATCTTGATCTGGCAATCGCCGAGAGGCACAACCGCGGAGATCTGGTCAGCGTTTCTAAAGACAGACTGACATCCTGTACCAGCGAAACGAACGAGAGGCTGCAACAGAAGCACCAGGTGTGCAGTTCGATGATCAAATGCTCGGTTGAGAGTAAGGAGAATGTGTGCAATACGCGCTGTGTTACCGAGAAGAAGACGAAAAAAAACACTAAGTCGAAAAAATTCTTTCTGTTTCGTTAGCACGTTCTTGTGGTACTATTATTGATACATTATGTAAAACGAGAATGATAATTCGTTCATAAGAATCTCTGAACATTTGTGATGATCTCAATTTAATATAATGTTTTAAATTTAATGTACCTAATTTTTACGCAGCTTTTATAAGTTTGTGTATATATCGAATTTATTATGCCAGCAAAATATTCTGTATTTTGCTACGAAATCGCAGTCGGTAGCAATCATCCAGTGATAAAAAGATACATCGATGCGTTGACAGAAAAGATATCTCAAACTTAACAATTTTTCAGGATACGTAACTAAAAAGTTTCTCTTTATTACCAACAATTATTGCGAATTTGATCAGACAATAAGCGATACTTCTACGTTTTAATGGTAAATTCAAAAGACTACAAGTCTGTCGTTAAAATATATATATGTATATATATATATACATATATATATTTTAACGACAGACTTGTAGTCTTTTGAATTTCGTTATATCATGTGTATATATATATATATATATATACACATGATATAACGAAAAGGTTGAGACACTAGATTATCTCGGAAAGATTCATTATCACATGATGGGTAACTTGGTATCTTACTTTTGTATAAAAAATTGTTTCCATAAACGTCATTTTTCCGAGATAATCTAGTGTCCCGATCTTTTTGTTACATCCACATTATTCTTTAAAGTCAATTTCCTATTATGAACTCAAAAATGCTAATCTTGGACTTGTCATTTTTCTGTCAACGCAGCGACATGTTTATCCTGTATATATTTATCAAATTATATCGTATTGTTACCAATAAACAGATGAGAAACAGATTGTATACATATATGTATTCTGAATTGTACATATTGCGTCATTCGATCTAAACTATACACACCTGTGTATCAATGAGATATCTTGCAACTCCTGTGATTATCATTTGAACATATTTATTCATTAATTAACTTACACAAGCGCTAATTGATTCTGCAATTGCTTAAGGTTTAACAAATAAGGGATAGCTAATACGGCCAGGAAGGTGGTTCCCCAGGCTTCAACTCTCTGCCGTATAACGCCGACTTGTCCCTGAACATTGTCATCCTATTTGTTTCCATCTTGTCTAACTTGTGGCCGATCATGAAGCCGGCGAAGGGGAAGATGAGGGTCCAGTACATCTTCCAGATGTGCGCGTGCGACAGTTTGCTCATGCTCTCTCACTTGTTCTGTTCCTCGGCAAGTTGGCGCTTCCAGCGAGCTGTCCGCTTCAGGTCCGCGTAGATCGTGAGCGCCGCAATCGTGGGGAATATCACGCTGACAAAGTTCCGCTTGACCGAGATCCAGACCGTCTTGAATGTGACAAACTCCATCAAACTGAAAGAAGTTCGAAGCTCTCGTGAATTATCGAATCGTGCGGGGTGGATGAGATCTACGACATATCGGCACACGCTAACATTATAGATTAACTTTAATCCTTTCAATGCCAAATACTTTTCACAAATGAGACGTACGCACGGAGTGCGCTTTGCAGCGCGCCTCGGCACTAAATACTTTTTAGAATACTTTTCTTAAATCACGTATTGAGAGTATGTCTTGTAGGAATAAAAGGGTATTCCAGTGAACGTAAGTTAACAGTAACGTTACATCAATACTGTAATTCCGTACTCAACAATGTAAGCGTTACATACAACATTACATACATATGTAATATAACACATGTGTTGTATCATTTATATTGTTGCGGGAAATTACAACTAACAAGTACGTTACATGTAACTTGGTGTTTGCTGGGATATTAATATTGATGTAATGTTAGTTCGTGTTTATTGTGGAATATTATATTTTGTTGAAATTGTGACGCGTAAACGCTCTCGGTATATAGCGCTAAACGATTTAGTGTGAACACGCTCACGGTATACTATCCTGCTGCACTTGTTAACACGTCCACAATATTGAAAGGGTTAATACTCTTCCTCTTAGAATTAAGAGAAAATAAATTTAATCGAGATTAAAGTTAATCTACCTATATTAGTAGAAATGGACATGAGAAAAACATTCTGCTCTAGAGATAGAGCGAGAAACGCGACCGAGTAAGTCATGTTTTTTAATCGTCGCGATAAACTCGCGTGAACGTCAGGTTCGGTGAAGCTTCGAGGAGCGAGGCGAACGTGACAAAAAATGAAGCGAGGTAAGCCGAAAGACAGGTCGAACGGGAGTCTCTTACGGTTCACAAGCCGCATCGGTCGGTCGACCGTCGACCTCGCTAGCTTTCGGAGGGTTAGGGTCGCTTCGTTTGTTATGTAACGTGTGTCGCGCTGCTTCTTCCACAGTCTTCACAAACCTCCTTCTGTCAATCGCCTTTGCGAGAGAGGCGCCGATTCGAGTCCCTCTAAAATCCCGAGTGAAACGAAAAACTGAACGTGGAACGTCGCGATATCGAGAAGGAAAGCGAGAAGCACCAGGAAGAGGGCGAACGCGCGTATTTACCTTCGTGGGGCGCGGATCGATCGCGGTCGCAACAACTGTCAGAGGATCGGGTCCAGTCACTCGGTGAGGTTAGGAACGTGCAGACGCTGGTTCGAGTAGTGGGAGAGTAGAGAGCAAGGGAGATAGAATTGGTTCAGCTGTTGGAGAATTTATATACAAGGGTTTAGATGGTCTCTCGCTATCGGTTGTGTTTGAGCTGTAGGTAACCGGAAACGCCGAAAATCGCATGCGTCCGAGGAGCCGCTGGAGGTTCGGAATAATAAGAATCTGTGGAAGTTTCTGACGAAACTTATGTCTATTTCTACCAACTATTTCTAGATTAACTTTAATCCAGGTTTAACTTACTTTGTATCCTTTTCTAATTTTAAGAATTTGGAAAAGATAAAAAGTAAATAAAACCATGATTAAAGTTAATCGACATTGGTAGAAATGGACATTAGAGTGGAAACCGGACGATTTTTGTGAATCGTCTTTCAACGGATACTTCCCGATTACGAGTACAAGTCACGCGCCGCCAGTCAATCCGTTTAGCGCGGCTCATTGATAAACACACTACCACGATTCTTTTACAATATTTTAACAGTCATTTTTGTATATCTGCACGTAGGATTCCGACCGTATTTCGAGCTTCGTTCGAGGGCGAGGGCGCTGAAATTGGGAAAGAAGAAGTGAAAACTAGCGGAGGAACCGGGGGCGCCGAGAGGAAGAGGAGAAGACTTTAGAGGAGTCGAAGTTGGAGGTACAGCTGAAAGGGAGAGAACAGGTCTGTATGGCACATCGTTGAAACATCGGGAAACGCAACCCTGGCTGAATTATTGCGATTCAAATCTATTCGAATTGCAGTTAGGTCGCTCGAGAAAGAAAATCCTGCGGCGTTTTTCAATGGAGCGGTCGCGCGCGAGATCGGAGAGATAATTCCCCCTCTTCCCCTCTCCCCGGATGCTTATCTGCTTATCGACGTGTCTCTAGCTGTGGACGCGACCTTGCACCCGGAGTGCAAAGAACACCGTGAGGGCAAAACAAACGGGCATTGTGATGCCGGAGGTGAGAGGGCCAGCCAACTACCTGTAATCAGAAAAAAACGAATGGGAGTATCGCGGCTGCGACGCTGATCCTGAATCTGGTTTCGAATTCATTTCGTCGACGGCTGCTGTCTTCCGCCGGCTCAGGGGAAAGCGCACGGAGGAGAGAGAGTTCCGCAAGACAATAGGCGGAAGGCGAATAAAAGAGGCGAATTTTGCTCTGTGATATCAACTTAGTGACTTCAAACAATGAGAACTGGTACGTTTATTATTTTTTTTTTAAGACCAGACTTCTCAAATAAGTTCCTATTGATTTTGTATATCTGTACATTTTAATACCTGTTACACCATTCTCTGCAGAAAGGAGGTCTAGGAGTTTGCCGAACGTGCCTCCAAGGTCGAAAGATACGGAGATTCTGTGGTCGGACATAGCTGGTCGCATTTTAATAAATGCAATCTCCTATCCTATCGAGTATGCCAAGGTTTTAATACAGGTAAAGACGTGTACTGGTTAACAGAATTCATGCAAGACGACATAGTCAAAATATATATGTTATTGGAAAGAAAACAGATATACATTTATATTAAGGTGAGATCTTATTACATAGATCGGATACGAGCCTATTCCACCTAAACCAACGGTAACGTTTTTTGGAAAGCCAGCACTGAAATTACCTAATGCCTTCACGTATAGTAAGTTTAGCTTTAGTTTAAAATCTGAAAAGTATTTTTGTGTCAAGAATTAAAACTTGATTCTTGATCTGGAAAAAGAAATTTGATTTACATTGCATATGATTATTTTTATATTATCTTATATCTTGATAAAGAATTTTTTATGTAACTTATACATTTGGAAAATTCGTATTAAATTAAATGCATTTCACGTGTCCCAAACGGTTATTCAAATTTTTGTGTTAATTTAATACAAGATGAATATGTTAGTAACACAAACATTATGTAAAAATTAATACAAAAAATGTAACACAATTTGGAAACAAATTATGGAATTATTCAGTATTTCTTCAGTAAAATTAACATTTACAATATATTAAATTGACATATTCATTTATCTTTGAATTTGCTTTTTCAAAAATTACAATATTTTAATAATGTTATTTATTCACTTACTCAAAAATTATGTTATCTTAATACTAAAAAATGTTAAATATCATTTTAATACAAAATATTTAAATAACATACACTATGTTAAATTAACTATTTGGATATGTTAAAAATTCAACATAAAATTTTAACAACAATTTGAAAGGACCATTTTTAACACAAATACAAGATGTTTTCTAACCGTACAAAAGATTGTTTTACCTTTTCTTTAAATTGTATTGCGTTATTATTTTGTATTATGAATAACATTATTTTTTGCAGTTAAACACATAAAAAGCGTGGATGGCTTCACAGGCTGCTACAGAGGTTTAGTGCCCAAGGTATGTTCCTACACAGTTAGCACGATAGCATGCGACAAGACTTTGGAATATCTGCAGTCGAACAACTCGGTAGAGCAGAACGAGGATGAAGACGACGTGGACGAGAGCGTGAGGTATGTGTTAAGGGAAGGGAAATACGAATAGCGAATGTAATTTCTCTTATTTACAGACGTAAAAGGTGCATGAATGAGATCATCAGGGACGTGATCAGTAGAACAGTTGCGATCGTAGTTAGTCATCCTCTAGAAGTCATTTCATTAAGGATGATGGCGCAATTTGTGGGCGGAGAGGCAAGATATAGGTAATAAATATACACAAGACATACACACACAAACTTTCTAGATGCCCAGAGAAAGGATGAATCTTTCTTTAATGTGATCCGAAAAGGAATGAAAAACTGAGAAGGGCAATATATTTGAAAAGGGGTTTAAGGAAATTTTAATAATTGGATGTTAAAAGCAATTTTATATAACGTGCGTTTAATGCACTTAAATGAGGAAACAGGCGAAGTTTGCATATAATTGTATTCGGTTTTGTTAATTTCGAAGAGAATCGACAATTTCAAGTATAGGTCTCTGGAAAAATATTTGTTGAATTTGTATTCTTCTCTGGGTGGTTCGTTTATCACCACAACGAAACTTACTTGGCATTATATTCTTACAGTAGTCTATTCGGCTCGTTCTTGGAGATCTACAGAGAGAACGGAATTCTAGGATATTATGCAGGATTGATACCGCGCGTTATAGGAAGCGCTGCGGTTATAGTTCTGACTGGCATCTCCACATTCGCCATAAATAATTACGTTATACAGGAGCCGGCGATGAAACCGTACACTGCATCAACCATGAAAGTAAGCGCATAAGTCCAATATGTTTCAGAGAGAATCTGTTCCGATATGTATTGACACAACATACTTTAGCACTAATGCATTAAACATTTCATATATACATAAAAAGTTAAGACATATTTTGTTAATTTAGACATATTTAAAACAAAATGTTTTTACAGTTTGTAGCTACGACCGTTATGTACCCGTTCCTTGTGGTGTCGCACTGCATGGCGGTAAACAACTGTGGGTAAGTAAAATCTTACGTCCATTCTCGAAGATTGACATAATTTTTTTTTACTTTTATAAATTGTATTTTATTGCACATCTAAAAATAATAGATATAACTTTGGCTATAAGTATGAAGCACCTTAAATTTTATTGCATTTTTTTGGAAAAGGCGAAAATAGGAACCAAAGGAGGATTAATAAAGTATTAAAATTGTTATAAAAATGAATATTATTTCTCAATAAAGAAATTGTTTTTTAATTTATTTTTCTTTAGATATAGAACGCTTGTGTCAATTTGTGTGAAGGTGCTTTATACTTATGGTCAAGACTGTATAATCATGGAATTTAGAAATATTAAAAGTGATGTATGCGCAGTTTCGAACTTAAAAAATAACAATACAAAATTATGAGATTGCTCACATAACGGGAGCATCTCTGATATTTTACGGAAAGATTAATATATTCGTCATTGGAATTGTTCAAGGTTGGTAGCTGGTCTTCCACCGCAAATGCCGATCTACAACAACTGGCTGAAATGTTGGTCCCATCTGTCGGCTCACAACCAACTGAAGAGAGGCAGCAGCCTGTTGTGGCGTTACTACACCGGACCGCACATGTTAATGAACGGCAAGCTGATACCGATTATGGGCGATAACTTTTATCAGCCCAGTTCTTAATGAGCATCTCAAAGTAAGCCAGACAAGTTGTCTGTTAATAAACCAAATAAGCCTGTTATAAACCAAATGAGTGTCGACCAATAGTCGTGTCCATTTGACTGTTTTATTTATACAGTGTATACATATAGCCGTATAAAAGAGAAAAGGAAAATGAGAAAGTTTTGATTGCAACGAATTTCTATAGCAAGATTGTACAAGAATTCCACGCGCTGAACACTCTTGTAAGCTCAAGTCGTTATCGGATAAAAAACAGAAAAGAAAGAAGGTGAATCAGTTAGGGTCGATCGAGATGACTTTTGCAGTTAAAACGTAATAGTAATTGTCATCGCAATATTTTCTAGGAAATAAAGGATTTTAGACAATATTTTCTAGGGGAGGAAATCAAGAACCATTAAACAAATCATCTTTATAATATTTTAGCATTTATAATGGTATGAGATTAATAGACGTCATTTTTTAATTATTACATGATGACTATTAATCGCGCTTACACGGATATGACTGTAATCGTCTTGATTGATCCTGCATCTTCAATAAAGGCATGCAATACGGAATACTTGTAAATATAAATAAATAAAATAATTAGAGTAAACACACACCGTATAGTTGCGCAATAAAAAAAGTGATGCTGGAAGAAACGAGATGTATATTTTTGCTATGTTGACAATTAGACTTTATTGTTTCGACAATTAATCGACTTACAATGCGGCGCTCCCCCTTTCCCTCCCCCTCTCGTCGATAATTGGTTTCGATGAGTATTGCATTCGTCGGATTATAAACATCATCCTATATATGTATATGTATGTGTATATACATACATACATGTATACACATATATATATACTGTGTTCTATAAGGAGAACAGGAGAAAATTAACGCGCGAGAGAGCCTATAAGCTACATCTCCCGCCTCTAACACACGTATAAAAAAAATATCGACTCGCGCTAATGGTCTTAAAAAGTGTTTATACACACGTTTTTTTCAGGCATTACGTTTGGACTATTATTTCGCCTGTACAAAGGATAGCCGGTCGAATGTGAATAATGAACAGGGAATATATATATACATATACATATACATATACAGCGTGTCTCATAACGATGTCAATCGTGCTGTATTAATTTTTAGCGACAGATTCAACGGGAGACTGTTCGAAGATCGGTGAAATTGTCTCAACTGGCTTCGAAAATTACGCGGATTTTTTATACAGGCGTAAAATGCATAATCGAAATTGAGTTTTCCTCTTGAAGCTTCGCCGAGGAGAAATTTGCAAAAAGAATCTGTCGCAAAGAAATACTTTTCGACACGCTGTATTTATAACTGATGCGCGCTGAAATTATTTCTAATTAAATTTATTGAAGCGGAGACTCGAGATTACTCCTCGAATAAAGTAAACGATATTCGCGTTCGTGGCCTGATAATAAAGTAATTGTACTTCCTCTCGCGCTGGTTAAAATACATTATCGTATTTATATTACCTACGAAATTTATCGTCTCGCTCACGGTCGGATAAATGCAGTGATAATTGGTCGTCGCTTTGCTTCACGGAGAATCGCTCCTTAAGAACTAAATTAATACTTCAATAATGCGAAATGAATAATGTTGCAGATGACAGGGTGCCACCGTGTATTCGTCGATAAAATACTTTTCGTACTAACGCCAGTTATCAAATTTACACAGTTCTACCAGACGAGATGTAATTAATGAGTAAACGCGAACCACTCGAGACGTTACAGCGAGACTGGTAGCTACGCTAGGCATTATCAGCATTGTCGGAACGGTCATTGACATATAACAATTCTCTCGTAACGCGTTTGTAAAATTTCTTTATGTATCTTCGTTTCTCAAATGATTCGATTGACTGTATCGAGATTGATTTTCTCTTCAAGCAAACTACGAAAGCAAACTATGAACGCGTTACAACACCGATCAGCGCCTTTATCTATTCTGTATAACAATTTTCTCACTAGTTTTTTTTATTAAGGGGACAGATTTGCATAGTCAAATTCGAAGCGAAATTTGCGAATTTATTTCAAGAAAAGGAATAAATGGACTCTCCATTTAAATGTTATTTGCTATTATATTTAAAATGTAAAAAATTAATTTGTAATACAAAATTCATTAAAAATATAGGAATTTTTTGTCATTAAAGACAAGTTCGAAAATTCGAGTTTTGTCACGATTCTGTGACTTCTGAAGAAGTAATCTACTATTTTCTGGCGTAGTTTTTCCTCAACACTTTGCTTTAAAGATTGAATTTAAAATGGACATTAGAAAAGTGTTATTACAAAATGGTTAATGAAACGTTAAAATTTAATTTTTGCGTAAAAATTATTTATATTGAAAAAAACTAGACCAGAATATAATAGATTGTTTTCATATACGAAGCATTCAAAATATTCGGACCTGTCCTCAAGGACAGAAAACTCTTGTATTTTTTAATTTTATATTACAAATTAATTTTCTCGTCTTAAATACAATAAACAACATTTATATGGAGAACTGTGTTCATTTATTCCTTCCTTTGAAGTAAATTTACAAATTTTGCCTTCAATTTGATCATACCAACTTCTTGTTCCTCTTTATGTTACTTGTGTCATAGCCTGGCAAGATATTATTTTACAGTGTTAATAAAAGCTAGTTTCTCTATAAGACAGTCTAGCTATAAAAGTGCAAGAAATAAAAATTGTATCCGAATAAATTCGATAATATCTTACACAGTCGAGAAAAAATCTTTTCTCGTTGAATTAATTGAAAGTATAAGGCCGCCGTTGTCACAACTGTTACGAATCGCGTTGAAAATAATCGGAGAGGAACTTATGGTAGCTTTTTAATCCTATCAACCTGTTCTTGCGTTAACACGATAAAGATCCGGACGATCAACATTTAATATTTATTTAACCAACATCGTTTCTTACGCTATTATTTATTAGATATAGCAATCGATTATTTGCCGAGTCCACGTTTACGCGTTTGGGAATAACTTTTTCACTTTTATTTAGGCTCTCTATCCGCAGGGCTATGTACATTGTGGAATACTGCGTGCGTTTTTCGGGAATGTTGGCGAAATCGAAAGCGAGGGATGTGCACACATTCAAACGCGATGCCTCACAATCAAATAATACAAATACTTTCGGTGCGCGGCAACAATCGGAGGCTGTTCACTATTCACATTCTACGACGAAGAGCTCGAGCACGGTTACTCCGAGGAGTTTCATTCGCTTCTTTTTTTTTTTGACATAAAGTCTTGTTTCCTTCTTCCATCTCGCTCTTTAAATATTATGCATATGTACAAAAGTATCTTTCTTACAACGTACGAATTACAAGAGGAAAAAAATGAAAAAAATGAGAACAATGTAAATTAATTAAAAAGACGCGTTGATATTACCAAGGCAGCATAATACTTAACTAGTATGAGTAGTTTTTCCTCTCAAGGACAGGCAGATATAATTGGCTCGCGAGCGCATAAATAAGCAGTACACACCGTACATTTCTCCACACCATTGTGCTACTAATAAATTCGTTTACCAGCTCACGGTGGCTCATAAGATTCGTCGTCAACGAAGTTTTATTCTAGTAAGTTTAACGTAAAAAAAAAAAAAAGACAAAACGAGAAACGGCGTGATCCTGACCAGAAACTTTTAGTGTAGCGAAACGCATCACATTCAGAGACAAATCTATTTTCTTATGTAGCTACGTTACAAAATTCGGTTATATTAGAGTTTAACGAGATTTATATTATCGATTATATATATATATATATGTATATGAATGCCTATCTAACAGAACTCAATTCTTTACAGTAGTTATGTAAAAAAATGAATTTGCCTCTAGGTACATCTTTGTTTTATATACAAATCCTCTACGCCTTAATTCTTAATAGCGACTCGATATATTGTAGTAGCATTTTTTTTTCCTCGTAGGAACCGAAAGGAAATAACTGCAAATAAGACTGCAGGTGACAAATATAGGAAAAGACCATGGACACAATACAAATAGACGTAGCATACTATCTTTCCCTAGAAGTACACTCAACGAATGATGAAAGTGCGATAGAACAGACAGTGTACGGACCCTCTATTTGTCTTTTCGTGCAAATTGTTTGACAACAAGACAAGACAAGCTAAACATCATTGACATAATAATGCCGAAGATGATGTATTCTCGATTGTGTGCAGACTAGCGCGTATTTTTTTCACAAGTATTCGTAACGTAAAATTAATTTAAATATAACAGTATGTAGTTGCACTCGGAACACATCTCATTGAAATCAAATATAAACTCTGTTACACAATTCTAAAAAATTATTAAATTTCATGTTTTCTTATGAATTTATACAATCAGATTTAAAATTCAGACCATGATACATATATACATGATATATCCTATTATTTGTTTTACCATTTCACTAAAAGTTATGATGTGCGAAAAGATGTTTAATGTTTATTTTGTTCGCAATTCCATCATTTGTTGGCATAAATTCAGAAATGCCGTTGCTCCGTTTATTCCTGCTATGCCTATAGAGAAATACTATGTGACATGCAATGCATTTATGAAACGTAAATTAGGCCAAAATGCAGCGACAATACTTCGTTCATTTCGATCTTCGTAAATTGAAGCGTTATAAAATCTATCCCGCTTTCAACATGTCTTAAATTGCAAAACATTTAGATCTTCAAGATCCTTTTGAACCTTCGTAAATTGTGGAATGTAATTAATTGTCGATCTTTTTATAGATCCTCTCTAGAATTGAGATACAATTGAATTCTTACAACTTTACAACTTTTTTTTAAATTGAAATGTAATTTATAAGAATAACGGATATCAAAGATTATATCATAGTAAGTATTTAAGATTACGTTCTAGAAACGGTACATCGCGGTACATTAATTTTTTTTTCTCTCACTTCTAAATCTTAATTCATCAATTGACGCTTTCTATAAAGAGATCTCTTGAGATTTAACACAATAGCTTTTTTTTTAGCAGTATTTGTCATTGTTTTTCCTGTCACGCGCGATTTGTCGCAGGATATACATATACAGGGGTATGCCAGAAGTCGCGCATCATTTTTGAAAACTTAGTCTTAGAGTCGTATCTCGAAATTTATGCACACAGATGCTTCATCTCTAATATTAATCTTTGACATAATTTTACACAACAGAGTATTTTACATAAGAGATTTGAGTCAGTGTTATTTTACTTTCCAAGAGAGATAAAAGAAAATACGTTAGATATACGCTAGGAATTAGAATGATAAAAGATATATATTATACGTATTTGAAATATCCAATGTTCGAGCGACCATTCAAAAGAAAAAAAAAAAAGAAGTTTCTCAAAGACATCTTTAACGTCATGACATTGGCCTTGCCTCTTGGCTCAGGATTATGGGCAAATAGGCGCGACTTCCAGGACGCCCAAACCTATCGTTACGCACACATCACGGCCATTTACGACTTCACATGTTCGCATGTTAGCTCGTACGACTCACTCTACTTCAAATCCAGCTCGACCTCCGGACTCTCAAGCGTGAACGGCTTCAGGTTCTCGACGATGGGCGTCTGGTCTGGATCGACGCGGATGCGAATCTTGTTGGTGTCCAGGGAGCGGGGCAGTGTGCGCGGCAGGTCGTCCTTGTACGAGGCCACCGCCGACGACGTGTACGTGGGCGACGTGTACGGCACGTAGATCCGCACCACGTCCGGGCTAGGCTGATGCGGCGTCGCCCGCGGCGTCGGCAGGCCGCCGCTGCCCGAACTCGCGTTCGAGATATTGCTCTGGGTGTCCAGGCTGTTGTCCAGGGCCTGGGAGCGTGTTGCCGAACTGAACACTGACAAATCGGCCGTCGACGTCACCGACGTCTCGGCCAACGATCGGCGAGAGCCATTGGGTGACGTGCCATCGTCGAGGCTCGGATCAAAGGAGAATTTGCTTCCTGCGAACACAGAGCTTACGTTAGACGTAAGATTAAAGTTGCGGGAGTACGTCGATGCGCATCATGGAAATTATCACATTAACAGTAAGATTTTTATTTATCGCGCAATCAGTTAATGTACAAAGATATCAATTTTTTATTATCATTATTTTATTACGACTTATGTCCATTTTTACTAATGTAGATTAATCTCGGTTTATTCTTTATCTTTTTTTTTTACTCTTAGAACTAGAAAAATATTATCTTTAAAGCAAGATAGCGTTATTAAATATGACGCAAAGCACTGTTAAAAGGTGAAAATTAAGGATTGCATTCCATGAGGATGCTTCATGGTAACTTAATAACGCAATAAGTGTTATTCATATATATGTCACAGTTTATGCCAAATATAAAAAAAAATAATGAAATCGAACAGGATAAGATATTGTGTTAAAAATTATGACAAAGCAGGATTTTTTATTCACATGCATGGATAGTGTGTTGTGTTAAATCATACAAGACTTGGCTTTATTAATTCTGATACATTTATTAAATATAAACATATACGAAAAGATGAAAAGAATGTTCATAAGTGATTTATCAACAGATCTTCTGAGCATTCCTGAAGTGTGAAACATTTATTATAGTTTTTCAATTTAACTGATATATATATTACTTTCTTCCCCCGACTAATCATCACATGATCTGAAGCAACAACGCAGATCAACACAAATTGCCTATAATACTTAATATTATAGAAAAATATTCAAATATTCTATTAATACTTCTTATACTGTGGTATATAAATCATTTTGTACGACTACGCGTTGTCTTACAAACAACATACTTTTTACACTTTAATATCGTTAAAGGCTTTTTCTATAAAAAAAAAAAACTACAAACTATATTCAACATTTTGCAAAATCTCATTAGATCTCTTGAGCAAAATTGTTCACACGACGCGGCACTCGTCGCGTGCGGCACTCGTCGCGACGAAACACCGTTCCGCTCACAGTCTAGTGGTGTAGATAACTGTTATCCGGACGTTCGAATCGGTGTCAATCTCGTCCTCGGACTCGCTGCCACGTTCGATGCGCGAGGTACTGTCTGTGCTATCGTGTAATGTGTCGCGGCTATCTCTAAACTCACCACCAAGGCCACTGGTCGGCTCAACAGGCGTGGTGCTCTCCCTGCCGTCGTCGATCAGCGCCATGTCCCTGCGCTGCGCCACCGACTCTCGCATTACATGCTGAGCTTCGCTAAACTCTTCGCTTCGCCTTCCAACCTGACGAATGTAAACGAATGTTACCATCATAACATAATCATATTGTCACACGGAAAAATATCCTTTTCGTTTCGATATTCTTTCTCTTACACGATTATTTCTCGATTCAAATGTGATTGTCATGAAATTTACTATATCAAAAATTATTGTACATTGTAATATGTTAAAACAATGATATATTGTAATGTCAACATATCTGTTTCAATGCCATATTTCTCGTCAAATTTTTTCTTTAACAAAGATAACTGAATAGAGGATTACCGAGATTTAAACAAAACTTGTTATTATACGTAATGCCCTACTTTGAAGGAAATAACAAGTTAATTTAGATGAATGTACAATCGAATTTAAATAAATTTTGCCTATAAATGTCTATAAGTGTATAAAAGTATACACATACAATGTATAAATGTTAGGATTTTTATCATAATACTGATAAAAGAGCGTCGACAGGATCTTCTCATTCGCGCCCTTTGACCCTTTACATCGATTTTGCATCTATTGCGTTTATTACTAAAAGCACATCTCCGATATTTGTCTTGCCGATAAAGAGCCAAAGGGTGACGTTTTCTAGCAGTACCTTGTTGGTAAAGGTAGGCTCCTGAAAAGTGCCAAACGGATAACGGGGTAATTCGTGCGGCAACGGGGCACCCGGGTAGTCTAATTTGGCACGCTTTAAATCTTCCATGCTGCGTTCCATCGCACTTATCACCGCATCATCGTCGAAGCCAAAATCCTTCTCCAGCTTGATCTGCAGATAATTGCAGAACTCATCGAGACTCTCCATCGGCATTAGGTAGCGCTTATGCAGTTTCATCACGGTATACGCCATTGCCGGCAATACGCGATCACCGTCCAACAGAAATATGTCCCAAATACGAAGACCAAGACTAACGGGAGTCTAGAAAGTGCAGATTAATATTGCCAATATTTAATATTATAAACATTCTCATTAATATTAAACATTAATATTATACATTACACACATATAGCAAGTTTCTTAATAGACTTCCTATAAATTATATTCAGCATATAAAATTTTCAGTAATATTCGAACCGGCTGTCTAATATTAGAAATAATCTTTATCTGAAGCAATTGTGCTACATATCACACATAATTGAAAATTAAATGAAAAACTCATTAAGACACAAGAAATTCTACAGACAAAAACGAAAGATTAATGTTCATTTCTATTAATGCAAATTAATTTTAATCTCGGTTTAATTCTTTTTTTTTCCAATTCTTAAAACTAGAAAAAGAAAAAAAAGTTAAACTAAGATTAAAGTTAATCATATTAAATATAATGAGAATAAAATCATCATATTAATAGAAATAGAAATAACGAGAAAGGGAAAAGAATGATAATCGAATGGCTGTTCTAAAGATCTAAAGAAAGAAGAAAAGGAAACCTACTCTCTCCTGAAAGACAACAAAGAACCACTTCAACGCATAGAGTATGGAATCGCAGCCGCACTTATCCATCTTCCGTTTCAGTTTCGGCGAAAATTTGTTCATTATCTTGTCATGGTGCTCTATGAAGCGATTTAATTTAGGAAATCCATCGACGTAAAAGCCTGTAAAGCACATTGTACATAGAATGACTTCAATATATTGGTAAATACCAGTCTCGTCCAGAGGTTCGTAAATATGATTGACCCTTAACATTTAAAACTTACATTGTGCTACTTTTTTTCTCATTTATGTGATAAAGTTATGCGGAAATCCTCATCAAACGCATATTTTTTCAATAATTTTCTATTCTTATACTTTATTCATATTTAGGAATTTATGGACGATAATTTAATTCTTTATATATATATAATTCTTAAAGAGAGCATGATATATCATCTAGAAAAGTGTATCGCTGGTAAATTATTTTAATAAGGAAGAAAAGATCCAACCGTGCATGCTGTATTTTTGATCGGCAAGTAACACAGAAAGGCCCCAGAAAGCGTCTTCCTCGTCCATGTAAAGCAACAGCAGACCGGCTAGCACGGACATTCCTTGGCAATATCCTACCTCCATGTTGTACATACTGTAGGCAGCCAGTACGTAAAACATGGACTTTTGTTTTATGCTATATCTCTCTCTGAAAAGAGACCATTTTCATGTTTTTTCAGCTCTTTTTCAGATACACGACACGTAACGAAGCAACGCGCAAAGCCATCGTGTACGATACCTATAGTTAATATGATCTCTGTATTGTCTGGCGACGTCGGCATCGATCTGCCGTATCTCCGTGGACCATTGACGAGCCAGCTGCAGCATCTCTTCGTATTTGCCTGCCTGCTCCTTCTTCAGGTTCTTTATGCCCAGCAGTAGAGTCCATACTTGGCCACGAAATCTGTTGGGTATCCCTTTGTATATCCTACGACGCAGTTTCTCCTTGGTCGAGGCACTGTCCCACTGCTTCGTCATCTTCTCCCATTTCTTCAGCCTCTCCATCTCTACGTGATGCAACTTGACCTGGTACGCATCCGGCTTCTGTGGTAGTCTCTTATCGCTGCAACAAGAGAGAGAGAGAGACGGTTGTCTAAATGTGAGGACTTTGTTTATTACACAATTGAACGTTATACATTGTAATTATAAATTCCAGAAGCACGTGTACGTACTGTATGAATCCATATCTATCCGTAGTGTGATAAACCTCGTAGCCGGGATCCTCCCAGGGATCAATCTCGGCGCCCTCCCGTCCGCGATCATAGCAGCTGAAAATCCTATCGCGCTCTGCGGCAGACCGTTTCAACAATTCTTCCTCATTCATCCCACGTGACGGTGCGCGGCCAGACTCTTACAAGCATGCCGTTTCGTTAATGGACCTCTCTACCAGCGTCCAGTCGAGCAGCTTCATCTGCGAAAGAGAGAGAAGTCGTTGTAGGAGGCGCGTAGGCAAACCAACCTGGTGAAACTCCCGCCACCGGCTGTGTCCGACTGGACTCCGTCAAGTCAACGCGTCAAGCCAACAAAGCTCGTGTTTGTGTCCGGATCTTTAAATTTTATCTCTCCATACACATGACATCGGGTCCCGTTAAAAGGGGGGGATTCTCGGTTCCGGGCGCCAAGTGGCGCGAGTGGCGCGAGTGCCGCGGGAGTAAGGAATGCGCGATGCGTGGCGTGTGTGGAATTACATGTAATCTCCTCGGCGTCCGCGCCGCCCGGAACGTAACAGATTTTCACCCGTTAAATCGTCACATCGGCGCGCTCGCACACGGCTGGCGGGGATCCCCCGTCGCGATTAAGCTCGGCGCGCGACCGGTTGGCCGGGCAGGCGCGAAATGGATCTGTCCGGTTTCTCGCTGGCGAGGCGCAGACGGTGCACGCGACACAACATTTGAAACCTCCTCTCCTCGGCCGCTCTCGTCTCTACTCCTCTTCTCCACCGAAGTCTGACTTCTCTCTCGAGGAAGACACCAGGCAGCGGTGATCCCCCCCTCCCATACCTTCGACGCGATCCCAGCGCGCTCTTGCGACACACCGCTGCCGCCGTTTACGTTGGGTTAGGTCATAGTCCGCCAGAACCGATGAAAACCGCTGATAATCGTCGTCGGCTCAACGCGAGCCGCTGAAACGAAAACAAACGGAAAGTGGAGAGAAAGAGAAAAGAGGAAAGCTGCTGTCTGAGGCCAGCATTATGCGCACGCATTGATATGTGTATTTATGTAGGTACCTTCATTGTATGGTACTTTCATCGTTATCCATTATCGAAGGACAACCGGAAGTCAGTCGTTCGGACATCTCGCGCGATATTCGCAATGGGATGTATTCAAATTCAAAATATTATCCAAGAGACGGAAATAAAAGTTCTTCTCGTGAGAGAGAATGAATATTTAGACTGCAAATCTATGAGAATTTAATCTATAGTTCATAATAGACATAAATATCTAATAGACATAAAATATCAATTTATGGTAATTTATGTTTTTAGCCTTTACATTAATTAATAGTCTCGTAATTAGATATAAAGCGATTTCATAATTCCGTAAGTAAGCAACTTCTAAGTCTTTTAGTCTTTCGATAATAATTCTATTTCTGGTGAAAAAAATAATATAATAGCTTATATTTAAAAAAATTTTTTATATTTTAAATTTATGAAAAAATACCTTAAATTTTTTATAAGTTTTTTTTGGAACTTATACAATGAAAAACGTTAGAAATTTTTTAACATTTCAGAATTTATATGCATAATAAAAGAATTCTAGAAAAAAATGTAGTAGACTTTCTCAGCCCTTCTAAAAAATTCTGAAATTTCTAGAAATAAATTTTCATCCGGATAAAAAACAAAGTATACGAATAGTTTTATAAAATATAAAATAATATATAGGTATATATAATATCTGTTAAATGTTTAGCAATAAGCTCAACATTTCAAGACTTTTCTTAAATAATATTCTATTAAATAATAAATTAAGAGAAATCTTTCGAGATGTTTTTTAAACTCTTGTGATTTACTATTTTTGATTCTTGAAGAATAGTTCAGAATATACAAGGTAATCTGAAAGTCTTCGTTCTTAAGCAACATAATCACTTTTCTTAACAAACTGTCTTTATTCATATTTTTAACAAATTATCTTTATTCACTTTTTTTAACAAATTGTCACTTTATCCATATGTTCTACACATGCGATTGTTTTGAAAACGCTAACTCGCCTCTCCCACTCGTAATGAATTCGTTAATATCTGATATTATACGCATAATTACACTTTGAATGGGTAATAATAATTCTTGTTTCATATCTTCCTTTCGTACATTATGGCCTTTAAGCGACTATTTTATCGATAGATAAAAATCAAGTAGGCTGAAGTTTTGGAACCTCGGAGGAATCTAGGAACTCAGAAATTCTTGAATCAATCGGCACATATGGAAATCATAAGGTGATACCTTGATTTCTTGAAATACATTGGAAATTCTTCAATAAAATTCTCGCTTAGCAGGAACTACACGATCGTGTAGTTCCTGCAAATCTATAAAATTATTTACAAACTTATTACTTATGTGTAGAGACTTTTCACTCTTATGCCAAAAAGAGTTGAAACGCGCGTCTCTTTCGAGATCTTCGACTCATCTTTCGAAATCGTTGATGTTATGAAGGGAACACACACGTTCCAATAAAAGATTTATTCGAGTCGAGATGGCAAAAGCCGAAATTACTGGCTTTCTCGGGTCGGACCCAACCTTCAGAGAGCGGGAAAAGAGGCGAAACGACGAGTATCAAAATATAATCGTTTAATTGCAATTTTACTAGCTTTCGGTATAAAGATCTAGAGTACAAGGGTTGTCGCCCGTAGGATCGTAGGCACGTGTCGCCGAGACACGAATTAAAAGGTACTCTAACGCATCACAGTTTTTCGCGACACATCATGCAGTCACGTCATCTCCGTTGTCGCATAACACATGTGCGCGCACACGCGCATACATACATGTATATATATTCATTCGGATAACATTAACCGTTAACATACCGATCGTTAACGTATACGAGTACTTTAACGATATCACGTGTACCGAAGTGCATAGGCCAGTCGACGACGTGCAGAGTCCGAGAAGCGCAATCGAGATTCGTTTACCAATCTGACGGTGGTGACGCTGGTGCGACGAAGCTTGATGGCAGTGGAAAAGAAAAACGGCTCGAAGATCCGCGCACGGTGTGATGTCTCAGTGATGTGACATCAGCCGAATATTCTTCCTTTTGTTTACACTTATTGAAGCACACGTTGCGACTACAGTAACGTCTCTTTTTTTTTCCCCTAGATGTACAAAAACATCGGCTGTCTAGAGCTCGAACGATCGAGCATGAATTTCGAACCTGGATAACCCAGGGAGATTTGAAAAAGTATTTCTGAAACACTTGAAAAATATCTGAGGCTCCTTCTACAAAATTCCCTTGGACGTCGTTTAGAGTTTCGCGTTGCTCAGGAACTGTCGGCTTGACTTCCGTTAAAATTGACTTTTAAGTGCGCTCTTCTGCGCTAAGAATTTAAGTATTTTAAAATATCGATATGTAAAACATATGTCGGCTAAGTTCTAGGCAGCCGCAATTCTCTCTCGACAATGTGGAAAGTTAAATGTACAACTGCCTCAAAAGTATTAGAACAGGATCTAATGATTATACACTATGTTTCAGTGCGTTTGTTTCACTTCTAACAATTGCGGATAGTTTTCCACGATATTCAGTAATATTCCATCGATATACGTTCTCAATTGCGTGTTCACTTCTTGCTGCTCCTTTAAGGCTTGTTTCAACTGTAACATAATATGTAAGAATTAAACAAGCCATTCTCAAACCGTCACATATTATGATCGTGAAATTCCAAATTAACTTTAATACATACCTCAGCCATCGTGCACGGTTCATTGAGCTCCCCTTGGCCATCTATCTATAAAGCAGATAAGAAAAAGAAGTCGATGTTAATATCAATGTTAATATCAATCGCTTATATTCGCTTAATATTAATTATTATAATTCAATATTTCTTATGGAAATACCTGATCTGGATTCATGCCGGCTAACAATTCCACAGCGAGACTAGGGCCCTTCTCGGCGTTATTGTTACAAGGATTTAGCATTAAAAGTTCACGACCCGCCTGCAGCGCTGCAGCAGCTTGCAGTTCGTCCCGAGATTCTTCCAAGCCTGCAGATTAATAAAACATTATATTAGATCGAATTTAAATAAGAACCAAAGTTCATTTAGAGAATAATTTTACATATTTTAGTCAAAATCGAAATGCAGCTTATGTGCACGATAGAAACGCCTGAAATGCCTGAGAAGCGAACGACTCTCGGAAGCTCATCGCGACAATTCGGTTAATAGTTTCCACGATGCGGAACAATAAACGTACTTTTATTGCGAGCTTGAAGTTGAGCCACCTGCTGCACCAATTCCTCGAGTCTCTGCTGATCCTCGCTGCGTAACGAAAGTTCCTCTCTCATGGCGTCGAGCATATGATGAGCCTCGTTAGCTCGGCTTATCGCATGACGTTCACTTTCGCGCGCAGCGTCCGCTTCCCTCCTGGCCTCCCGAAGATCGGTTTCAAGTCGCGTCTTATCCGCCCTCGCTCTCTCGAGCTGTTCGCGCACCCGCGCGATCTCCTCCCGCAAACTGGAGCTGTCCAGCTCCGCCGCCTGCAGCTTGATGGCATAGTTCTCCAACTGCAACTGACGCTCACGTTCCAAGCGGCACGCCCATTCCCGATGTCTCCGTTGCTCGGCCTGTGAAATGCGGAGAAAGAAATTAGGAAAATTAATTAATCCAGTGATATCCGTCGGATATACGATTCCATACGTTAATACCTCCATTGAGGCAAAGCGTCGCGGATCTTAGTTATACGTAAAGGAAAACTCTGCATTAAGAAACATATATTTTATCTTATCGCAGAAAATTCTCGCGAGGAGCATAGAAATAAAAATCATGCTTTTCAAACGTTCTCGATGTTGAGTTCAAAATGCAAAATGTTATATCTCATAAAAATAAAAATATTATTTTATTATATAAAATTATAAATTATACACATAAAAATATTTTTAAAAAATTTATAGGCTGACTAATCTTTTTAGCTGAACTAGCTGCACTAGTCCACAGTTTATCTTTCTCTTTATATATTGGAAGAAGAAAGATAAACTCTGAATTAGTGCATGCAGTTCAACTAAAAAAAACAGGCCTTATAATAGAGTAAATTACCGCTAACAAGTGAATAAATAGATAAAATTTTCCATTTTTGATATTGTTACAACATTTTACGTTCTCGAACAAGAGTTCTAATAATAATGTACAGATCCTTTATATTCACCAGTTTCCGTTTAAATTTCTAGCTTTAACTTGTACTGTTATTAACATTGAAAATAACCTGATGCAGATCAAAACGTTTGTTATTGTTTAATGATTATATTATTTAATGTATTTTAACTAATCATATTGGAGCATTAAATACCCAGCTCTGGCTTATAGCCCTCATTTTGTTTATTTTTATTTTGTTATTTTATTGAGCCTTTCTTTAGTTTATTATTTGAATAAATATAGAGACACTTTCAATGATCGAAGCTGGATCTTGATCTAATAATATTTCTATGTAAATTCTAAATACATTTTTTCAGTTAAAATGCGCGCCGATTACTGTCGGGCTTGCAATGCAATAATAAACTGAAGTTGAAATAGTAAAATAACAAATTAAATTATCTTTAATTAAATAATAATAATGCCATATAATAACTATCTTAAAGCATTAAAAGATTTATATAATAAAAATTTTATATTTATATAATAAACATTACAAATACATAAATCTTTTTTTGTACATAGAGATTGTTTAATTATAAATATAATTTTAGCCTATTTACATTAAGCTACTTACTTGAAGCCTCTCTTCAGCCCTCGTTTCCGCATCTTTGGCCGCTTCCTCGAGCATCAATATGCGCGCCTGTAACGTTGCATTTTCCTGCTTCGCTCGAGCGTACCTCTCCTCGCCGACCGACTTAGTGTCCGCTAAGGCATCCATTTGCTCTTGGATCATTTGAACCTGTGGCATTTAAAAGGAGTTTGATGTTTCACGAAACATACCGTGGTAATCGCGTTTACGTTTCGCTCCAATGACTTTCTAACTCTAGAGCGAGTCGTCCCTAATCCATTGCGATATAAATTACTTTCAACGACATTAAACACGTTGTCCTCATTTCAACGTTATCAACGTTTTATATCCAAAACGAAACAATAAACTTTTTGCTACGTGGAAAATTTTACGAGAATGTCACAAGTATATTTTACAAACTGTATTACTATTTCGGTAGGTTTTAGATATGGTTTCAAAAAGATTTCCGATCTAAAGAATCATTTGAAACAGAATTCAAGGAAATTTTAATTCAAAGGAAATTTTTAAGAAATATTGATATGCGATAAGAGATTTAATAAAAGATGTACAAATTTTCTAGTAGATGAGCTATAGAAATAGAATGTACTTTCTTAGAGACGTATCCTTTTTAAAAATATGCAATGATGAGTTCCTGTCTAAGGGATTTTCGCTCCAGTTATCAACAAGACAAGAAATAGGAAATATCTTTTATAGATATTCGAGAACATAGAAAAAATTCTAAGAGTAAGAATGAAATTCATATATCTATAATTAATTTGTAAAAATTATTTTAAGGTAAGATAAGAATTTATAAACAGAAATATAGATTTTTTTATATCTACTTTATTTGACAATAAAGGCAACAGAGAGCTAAAATACTGATAATTTTAACTAACCAAGTATGAAAGAACATCATGCTGAAGATTGTATTTTGTAAATAGATTTATTATCTATATTTTTATTTGATAGAAGTAATAGAGAGTATACTGATAGTTTTATTATTTATCGTTAAATCAAGTATGAGAAAATGACACGCTGAAGATTAAAAATGCAATGGGTGACTACAAGATTTTTACTGTTCATCAATGAGATAAGAAATATATATGCATTTTAGAACATAACAAGAATTAGATATATCTATATATAATTTGTAAGATCTACTTTAGACAAGAATTTATAGATAGAAATCTAGATGTATTATCTATTATTATTTTTTTACATTATAGGCAGTAGAGAGTTATAACAAAAAATATACATCCTTTATTAGGCATTTAAAAATATAAGAAACATTCAAGAATATATACATTTATATATATATATATATATATATATATTCTTCTTAATGTATAATTGTATTAACGTATATATTCTTGAATGTTTCTTATATTTTTAAATGCCTAATAAAGGATGTATATTTTTTGTTTTATCGATGAACAACGAAAATCTTATAGATATTTCCATTAGATATTCAATCTTCAGCGCGTACAATTTCTTCATACCTGATTAATTAAAACTATCGGTGTTCTAACTCTTTTATTGCCTATAATGTTAAAAAAATAATAATAGATAATACATCTAGATTTCTATCTATAAATTCTTATCTAAAGTAGATCTTACAAATTATATTATATATAGATATATCTAATTATTGTTTTATATATATATATATATATATATATATACTTATATATATTAGGTACATAATTTATAAGATTTACTTTAAATAGAAATTCTTAGTAAATGGAAATGTAGATTTATTATTAGATGTATACTTGTCTGACAGCAAAGGCAATAAAGAGTTAGAATATTGATAGTTTTAATGTTTTAATTAACCAAGTATATGAGAAAGTGGCACGTTGAGGATTAAAAGTCCAACTCCAACTCTTCCACCGAGAAGACAAGAAGTCACCGATTGAGAGCGTAAACGGATCGTTGATCGACACGTATTAGGAATTCACGATTAAGTGCGTAGGCGCGGAATCGCGCGGAGAAAGTACATCGAAGGAAACGTGTACTCCTCTTAGGAAACGTGCCCACGCTGCCGCGATACTATCAATGGTGCGGCTATCAATGGAGACGGACTACTTACGACCACCTTGTCTCTTTTTACCCGGGGCAGCCCGTGTCGCACAAATCCACGAAAGAAATACGATAAAACCTCGCCTTCACGCCTCGTATCCCGATTATATTTCAGCAGCTATGTCGCACGGCGTTCCACGCACGATTGGAAATACTTGTCGCTACCTTGAATCGCCGAAAAAAAAATATCGCGCGCGATAACGATAATCAAGACTGATACGCCTCTATGACGAGTTTTTTTTTGTAATAATCGAAAGCTATATCCGCGTAAGCCTCGTCGCTATATATTGCCATTCCCCGCGCCGATGTTTTTCACGCTGACGTATGTCGCGCGAAATCGCCTGCATCAATGCGATATGCAGATGGGATATATCTCCGAGCAGATATATGTACATGCCGATGATGAGGACGCACGAGAATAGCCTCCGCGAGTTTGTTCGCGCGAACAGAGATACGCAATAATGGTCTAAAACACGCAGTAAAGCGTGGGCGCGCTCTCGCACGTCCGCGGCAAATTGAAGTCGATCAAATCGAATTCGAATAGGCGAATGAATATATAACGCGGTGAATTCAAAATTCCGTCGCTCGTCGAGCGCTTCCCGCCGGGTGCGGCGCCGGGCGATTATCGCACTCCTCTTACTTGCTCGCTGAGCCGGTGCCCACGGCGACGAGGTAGCTGTCGATCGCTGCGTAGCGGCGACGACGGCGGCGGCAGCGGTGGCGGCAGAGGCGGCGGCGGCGGCGGTTGCTGTCCCACGAATTGGAACTGGCCCTCCCACAGGTCGTACTCGAGGCCGGCCCCGGGTCCGGAGGACGGCCCCTCCCCGGAAAACGATGCGCGGTCGATCGTCTCCTCGCAAAAGTTCAGCTCCATCGCGGCGCGGTCGCGGTCGCGCGTTCTCGCATGCAGGCAGGCCCGCGGTCGCGCTCGCTCGTGTTTATCGCGTCACGTCATCGCCTGTATCGCGAAGCGGCGGCACTTCGTCATCCCCGCGCGTGCTCCTCCTTCGTCTTCGTCGCCCTCGCCGCCGCCCTCGTTGCCCGCGTCGTCGTCGTCGTCGTTGTCGTCGCCGTCGCCGCCGTCACCGTCGCCCGCGTCGTCGCGACGTGCGGCCGCGCCGCGCTAACACGCATCGAGAATGCGCTCCGGGCTTTTCTTCCGCGCGGAGTCACGCGCACTTCCACCACGTCCTAGGCGACTCTACGTGCCAGGAATATACTCCGAGTCCCCTATTCGTTCGCACGTCTCTCTTCTCTCTTTCTTTCATTCATTCTCTCTCTCTCTCTCTCTCTCTCTCTCTCTCTCTCTCTTGCTGCCTCTATCTGATCGCCCACTTTGAGCCGGGAGTCTGGGGAGTAGTCACTGCCGAGGCTATTTGCGCACTCCATACCGCATGCTGGCTAACTCCTCGCGCTCGACGGAGAGCGCGGCGTTACGCCAAACGCGCTGTAGCTCTCGTTCTCGCGCCTCCTAACTCCTTGCGCCTCGCTCGCGACACCACCGCATGCACCGCCTGCAGCAAAATGTTGCCGACACGACACGTCTCTATCGGGACACGGAAATCGATGTGTTCCCCATTACGTCCCGACGACCGCGCGAAAATATTTTCTATTCGCGACGTCGATAGTCGTCACGTGACTTATTCTCATCGCGAATGTAAATTCGTCGGAGTTGCGCCGAGTTTGAAATTCGCAGACAACGCAATTTTCATACGTTCTTTCCCCGAATGAACATTTTTCTTAGAATTTTTCATATAATCATTTTCAGAACTTTTTTATAATTTTTACATTAATTTTAAAATATTTCATATTTTTTGTATAATTTTGTAAAAATTTCTTCAAGAAATTTCTGATTTTTTATACAAATAAAAGCATTTTTTTAGAAATGTTGAAATCTTTTCTAGAATTCTTTGAATTCTGAAATATTTAAAATTTTCTATATAATCACCGAAGAAATTTAAAATCTAAAGAAATTGAAGATATCTTTTATAGAAATCTTCCTAAATTTAAAGTATAATAAATCGATAATAAATAAATAATTCTTGATAAAATAAAAAATTCTTAAAATTATCACAAGATATAAAAATATTTTTTACCAAAGTTCTTTCTCTTTTTAACACATTCCGTGCAGCGTGTGCTTCACGCTAAACTCTCAGGCTACGTTTAATATTTCGAGTATAAGTATTATCATAAAATATTTCATAATATTGATCGATACATTACATATACAATTTACGTGTATAGAGCAGCTATTACATCGTGTATCATCGCTGGTATATCGTCCGAGCGGAAAGTCACGCAAAACACCGGTGCAGCACGGGGAATGTATTAAACAGCTCTTAAATAACTCTCTTTTTTTTTAATTCCTCCTACTTTTACAGAAATATCTTCTATTACGTGTGCTGTGTCGTAACATGATCCCTCGATTGGACTCGTCGATCGTCGGGCGTTCGTGGAGCGCGTAATACGGTGCGAACGGTGTCACCCTGATAAACGCACTCTCGCCGATAAAAAAATACACGCCCCTAATGTCATGCACCGGCCGATATGCATGTACATCCGACTCCGGCTCGCGTTTCGCGACGTCGGCGTCGTCGGCGAAGAGACGTTTCTCCGGATACACTAGCGCGTATTCGAGACGACGATAACTCGCCCCGCGAGACTCCGTTGCATCACCACAAGTGTGTCAGCGCGCGCGCGCGCGCGCGCGAGCGCGTTACACGTCAAAGTTACACGCCGACCACAACCGGCTGCGTTCCATCCTGCATTTAATATGAGAAACACGGAGTTACGCACGCGCACACACACGTACAAAGGGGGAAGGAGAGGGAGAAAACACGTGCACTCGCAAAGGGCGCGCGTCATCAGAGGTCATCCAGTTTCCACCTTCTATAGGCGTTTTATTCGCGCGCGCGATTGTTACAATCTATTATTAACCCTTCGTAGTCCAAAAATTATGGCAAATTAAGCATCAAGCGAGATCAAGTATCCTCGTCTAATTTCGTCTAATTGATGAATTAAAGAATTTTTATTTATTTTTATTGAAATTTATGGACAAAACTATAAATATTATGTACCTTAATATTGTATAAATAATAATTATTAATATAATATTTATATTAATAAGAATAATCTAATATTATTAAGATTCAGACATAATGAAAGAAACAGAGAATTAGATACAAGGAATAAGGCAAAAGTTAAAAGCAAACAATGCAATTTTTCGTCCTATTTTGACTTTTTCCTAATTCCTTATGTTCAATTCCCTGTTTCATATTCCTTTCATTGTATCCTTATATATCCTTGGTTATAAGTATAAAGTACTTTCAATTTTTTTGAAAAAGGCATTAATAAAAACCAAAGGAAAGCTGACAAAATATTAAAATTGCTATAAAAATAAATTATTTTTCAATAAAATTGTCTTGTAATTTATTTTTCATTAGACAGAATATCAATTTGTGAAAGCTTTAGGCTGTATAAATATTATTTCAATGTAGTTCAATATTATATAAATATTATATCAATGTAAACATAGTTTGCCAATTATAGATTCGAATGCTCGAAGAATTATGCGATAGGCATTGTGTTAAGTCAAATTCAACACATGATTAATATCACACAATTCATAATTAAAATCTGTTATAACTTACTACTTAACGCGTGTCTTCAACAACCGATTTTTATTAATCGACTCAAGTCAGTCTGATTGTTCGACGAATTTTTTCGAATCGTATTCGTGCCATGAATTATTTCTTTTCTGCGAATTTCTTCCCTCGGGGTTCCCCGTAGTCGGTTGCCGTTCGCGAGAGAGGTTTCACCTTGTTTCCGATGTTGTCCACCTCTCGTATGACTTGCATACTAGATAAGCGATCCATCCCGTGATCAGCAGGAAGCTCACGAAGGGCCATCCCACCCATGCGAGCAGACTGATGGCTTGCGCCGGACAGGCCATGCGTGTACCTCTTTCCGTGTTAAGTCCAATCTACAGTATAGGTGTGGTAAGCCTTCAGCCTCTTACGCTAAGCTCTAAACTGCAATGTTTTCTTTTTGGCAAAAACGTTTCCGGCATTGTCTTAATTCGTAATCTCTATAAGCTGTAAGAAACCTTTTATTTTTGGAAGATCTAATAAAAAAGACTATATGTGGAAATCTTTTTTGGAAAACCTATGCTATGGATTTTCTTAAATTAATACCTAACACCAAAATTTTAAATAAATCAATATTATACGTATAAATAATAAGCCTATGAAAATCCGTTGCATAGGTTTAAAAAAATTTAAATTAAATTAGAAGCAATGGGTTCTAAAAAATAAATCCATATAGTGAAAATAGCCTATAAGAGCCAACACGGGTGTTGGTGTGTTAAAATTCTTATTGTTACAATATCCATCACACTCGATCTGCGGGCCGCTCGATTTGTCGGACTTGAAACATAGCTCTTTGCGTAAAGTCGGAAACTTGTAACTAAATTGACAAACTTGTAATTAAATTGACTTGTAATTAAATTGACAAACAATTTAATATCTTTCGATGCTATTATGCATCTATAAACTCTCCTCCCCCCAAGCCTGTAAAGAACTTATTGCGAAAAATAACACCTCAGCCAGGAATCGAATCCGGATATCCACGTTTGCCGGACGGGCGTTCTACCTTTAGACCACCGAGGCATGTGGTGATATTCCTCGCAAAACTGATATAGGTACTGTATAACGCATATTTTCATTAATTTGAATTTACGCTGCCTGAAAATATGCGTTCGAGATCTGGGTTCGATTCCTGGCTGAAAGCTGAGGTGTTATTTTTCGCAATAAGTTCTTTACAGGCTTGGGGGGAGGGGAATTTATAGATGCATAATAGCATCGAGAGATATTAAATTGTTTGTCAATTTAATTATAAGTTACAAGTTTCCGACTTCACGCAAAGAACTGCATTTCAAGTCCAATAAACCAAGCGGCGCACAGATCAAGTGTGGTGAGTATTGTAACAATAAGAATTTTAACACATCAACACCTGTGTCGGCTTTTATAGGCTATTTTCACTAAATGGATTAAAAAAAATTTCTAAGAATAGTCTTCTTTATTTAAATATCCGAAAGGATAAGCGGCCCTTAAGCGATCTGGCCGGATCTCAATTGGTTTAAAGCTTAGAATAAATTAACGTCACAGCTCGGAGCTTACAATTAGAGCACGAGGCTGAAGGCTTACTGCACCTATTGTAGACCGGGGCTTATTGTTAGAAGAAGCTATGTACTTGTCGCGACACAACTGAAGCGGACTCGTTCGCGAGGGTGACTTGCGATTTCCGCGTCGGACGATTTGCTCACGTTTCCATGCGCTGGAATTTTGCCGAGCCTCGCGACAAAGTTGTCTCCTCCATCAAACCAGGTCGTGCCAGTCGTTCTATCGCGTCCTACCGCGATGTTGTACGTACGTAAATTAGTCGGACGTATCTCTCGCTACGATCTGCTTCACGTGGGCACACACGCGAACTTGTCAATTTAATTGACGACCCATCGCGACAACGTCATCATTGTACATATGTATGTATATACATACAATACATTCAACGTATACTGATAGGCATATGTTCCGCTCGCACGAAATTATCTGCGAAGTGTATACATACATACAAAACTTTGCGTGTAGCGGAGCTATGCATCGTGCCCCGGAATCAGTCGGGAATTGGCATATTGCATCGATGTAATTTCGATGAGATCGGATTAGATGCGCTGGGAAAATAATCGCTACGCTTATTCGCGATGATTCAAATCCAACGATTTAATGAGTACCCCGACTTGCTTCCATTTGAAACTTGACAATATTACATTTTTGTTTTAAATTTTTATAATTTTCACCGAACTTTTTGATATTTATTGTTATTTATATCATTTTATGTTAGGTGCGTTCTAGATTAGTTCTATATTAATTCTATATTAATCATGATTTGTAAAAAGTTTGTTATAATTATTATAATTATTAAATTAATTATTTATAAAATTTAACATAAAGAATTCATTAAAAACAATATATTATATCTTTGTGTTATAATTCTTTGGTAAAAATTTTCTTAGGCTGATATTCATAGTCAATTCTTCAAGATCATCTTAAGTAATGTTTTAAGATGCTAATACGATTCTGTGATTGACTTATGACATCGCAGTTTGTACTGAAGGTCTTCAAGATAAAAACCGATTATGAATACCATGCCTTAGAATTCTTCATATAATTTTCTAGAAGTTTCTATAAATTTGAAGATTACAATTTTTTATCACAACTTTTTACATGACAATTTTTCTATAACTTTTAAAAAAATTTACAGATTTTTTAATACAAATTGAAACACTTTTCAACTCTGAGAAAATCCTACATTTTTTCTATAGATTTATATAATTCTTTAGAAATGTAAATTTTTAAATTTAGTCTAAGATTTCTCATTCTATAATTTTCGAAAAACTTGTAAAAACTAAAAATGTTTAAATATTTTTTTAATCTTCATAAATTTAAAATATGGAAATTCTTAACAATATCATGAAATATTAAGAGAATTGTTTTTCATGAGAGTGATTTTCAATATTTAATTTTATTAAATATGATTATATCTAATCATTCGTTAACATGATTTCAAGCTTTAGGATCTATTTATGAATTTTACTCATCGAAATTGCATTGATTCCCTGATCTTACCCGAACAAAATAGAAACTTTTCTCGTCGAAAGCATTTATTACTTGTCCTTGTTGGCTGCTCAGTAATTTATTCAATCACACGTCTCGTCTCGTTTCTCTTGATTGTACTGCAGTCCTTTACATACGTTTCAGATTTTCACTTTGTTTTTCTGTCCCTGGTTATTGACAATCAATTTTCGAAGTGGAAATATCGTAGGATCGATTGATATCTCTCGGTGTCGACCGTGATTTCGCTCCGCACGCTTTCGCTCTCCTCGTTCTCGCTTTCGTCTCGATCGTCGTCCTCGTAGACGGGATTTACGAACGTCTTCGTTACCGCGTCTGTTAACGAATAGGACTCGCCGCGACTTCCCACGCGGGAAGGACCGTGATCCCGGTTCCGCTCGGTGCGCCGGAGAAATTCCGCGGGACAATTCTGCGCCGCGTCCTGCGTCGCTTCCGTCGGCGCGGCGGCGGTCTGCACGAGCCGAGAAAGACAGACGGACAGAGAGGTCAGGGCAGGTTCGTCGCACGCGGGAATCGATCCCTTTTACGGGGACTCAGTCCCCGCGATTAGAGCCCTGCGTAATAAGGGCGAAAAAGGTACATATACGACATTACGTTATCTACGTTTCTAGCTCTTCGCGTTGAATGGTCTCATGGATATCGGTAAAAGTGTCTTTTTTTTCTATTCACAATCAGAAGAGCGGATTCGTGTCATCAACATTGTCAACAGTAAAACTTAAAATTCCTGGATTCGTCACTGCGCTCGCTGAGTAATGATGTCAGAAACGAGAAAATTCGTGACTCATCCTCATAGTCTTGAAATAAGTCGACTTTTTCGTCGTTTAATATACGGAGTTACGTTATTCGGAAGTAATTGTTTATCTTTTTACGCGCGTCTCTATCAATGTAGATTAACTTTACTCTTAAGTATGTTATATCGTCAAAATTGGAGATGCACATTAAAATAAAAACTTTATGTAATTACAAGGGATATATATAAATACCATAAAAAAATAAAGTACCTCGAAATCAGGAGTTTTCCATTGTGAGGAAATACAAATGTACCAGATGATTGGAGGTATGTGTTTAGCAAAACTCCTGAACTTGAAATTTATTTTTGTACTTATGTTCCTTGTAATTACATAAGATTTCTATTTCAATGTGTATCTCCAATTTTGTATCTCCAAATAATGCCAGTTAATATGATATTTGGCACTACAAATGAATATATTTGTATATTTTACAAATTTTGTGATTGCCGGCAAAAAACTTTTGGACGTGAAATTCAAGTCCAAAAGTTTCTTGCCGACAATCATAAAACTTGTAAAATATACAAATATATTCATTTGTAGTGCCAAATATCATATTAACTGGCATTATTTAAGTCCTTTGTACGATACAAGTACGATATGGTGCATATCTTAATCTATAAAAGCATAGATTTTCATCAATTTCATATTTCAGTAACTTTTGTCTAGGACTGGATAGCCAGAACATCCTTAAGTCTAATTGGTATTCGCGGTTCCAGTGGACCTGAATATTTTTTTTAATTACGCGCCATATCTCCAGACAGCCAATATCCAGATTATGAAAAATTGTTCGCAAACAATATTTTTCACAATTTTACATACTTTTAAATTACATAATCTTATTCTTCGGATTTTAAATTTTAAAATGAAAACAAAAATTGTTCAACTATATTAACTTTAAGCAAAGATACATTAATTAAAAATTTCGTCGGGTACCGAACCCGCGAGTATCAATTAAGGAAATTTCGGAGCGAATACCGATTAAAGTTGAGAGGGTAATCTCGGTTCAATTTACTCTTTGTCTCTTTCTAATTCTTAGAACTAGAAAAAGAAAGTTAATCTACATTCGTGGAAACAAGTATTAAAAATTATACAGAATCTGTGTAATAGATCTGTATAACTTTAACTGATTCTAGAAATCAAAAAGTCACACACAGCATCCGCCCCTATCGTTGTTCACAGCAGGTGAATACAATTATATAGAATAATTAAACCGACTGCGAGCGGTCTGAATCCACGACAGAGTGTCTTTCGATTCGCGATCGACTTGTTGTTGATATTCCGCGAGACCACGGCTGCGAAATAGGAAAAATCGGGGGAGACGGGATTTACCTGTGGCGCGAGCCTGGGCGAGCGCAACCAAGTGGCGATCTTTCGGCGAGTCTCGCGGGAGAAGCTTATACGGTAGACGATCACGAGTAAACCGATCGCGAGAATGGTGAGAATTGCGACGGTGTACCAGGACCAAACCGCGGGCTGCTCCTCCTTAGCAACGTCGTTCTGCTGAGCGCAGTAGCTGGGCGCCGGATAGAACGACGTACCCGGGCAGTGGTACGCCGCGTACGGATCGTACGGAGGGCAACGTGACGGGTACGGGGCAGGTGAATAGAACGGATAAGGGATGGGATGGGGTGGCTGTACCGCGGGATGCGGATGGTCCCTGTTGGAATCACGATGCGCGCCGCCGTAGGGTTGTCGGGAGCGAGTCGCGCACATTGGCAGACGAATCCTAGGGCCTTCCGGGACCGGGGAGGACACTTCGCATCCTCGGTACGCAGGAACGAGGTGGATTCTACGGTAATTTGGACCGCGGACGACTTTCCAAATCGGGTTAAGCGAGGAACTGGGCGGTTCCGCTGCGGAAAATTGACAAGCGAATCCTCGCAATCTTCGCGTTCGTGTTTATAGCTCCGTTCACGTTGCATCGCGCTTTTCCGTGTATACATATATATGTTTTAAAAACGGGAACGATTCAGCTTCGGCTCGAAGCGATGAAAAATGGAAAGGCGGAAATTCATTGATGTCCGAGTGAAAGCGCTTCTAATTTAAAGGTGAATTTAAAAAATTACGTTGAAATCGCAGGTCTTACTCACTTTGTGACTGAGATCCATGACGTCCTCTAAAGATACGTCGCTGTATACGTCGTCCGTAGCATCATAATTCGAGCCCATTCCTGTGCTGTTGAAGCTACCACTGCGATAAAGCTGGCTGCAAGTATCGGAAAGAAACTCTTTAGTGTTCGAAAGGATCATTGAAACGAAATTTCGAAGTTATTCTTATATGAAAATATCCCACGACAATAGAAAGCTATTTCAAAAATTGTATATAATAAAAGTGTAGAAATATCTTTACTAAAAAATATATTCTACTAAAAAATAATTAATTACAAGCGATTATTAAGCGAGTATAACTTGTGAAAGTTCCCCTAATTAAAAGATAGGTTGTGTGAAAGTTCGGCCAATTAAAAGATAAATCTTCTAATTCTCTAAAAACGACAAAAAAAATTATTTTTCAATTGTCACTTTTTTGAAACAATTTCTTCTTTGGTGATCGTATGTTGAATATTTCCTTCTTTCCTCCCCTCCCGTTCCCGACGAACGGATAAGACACGTAGCTGGACGTAACAACAGTAGCGTGGAAGAAAACGCGAATATCGAGGTAAATCGGGTATGGAACGTGAGTAACGTAATAGAAGCACGCCCACACGCTTTAGAAAGTCCGTCGATTCGAGTTCCGTGAAAGGAGCGACTTCGGGAATTATTAGCCTTGATGCGGAGGCATCACATCCTACACGGCCGGCGAACTCTTTTGTCCGAGATATTCATTTCCTCTTGCACGCGTGGGTAAATTGAGAAAAGGCGCGAGAGATAGCGGAAAGGAGATCACACGGTTCGGGACAGTCGGTGAAAACACGTCAATCAATTGAAAAATAATTTATTACATCGATAAAATCGTAGCGCGGAGTGTGCAGTCTTCTTACCTGGCTAAAGCGTTGCTGCTGAGTCGCTTTCTGCCCGAACTGCAAGCACAAGCAGGAAAATATTTTCCTTAGCGTGTTTCCATACACGTCATTTACATTTTATCGTAGAATATTTATTTATAGATGACTTATTCGAGCGAGTTATCCATTGCGTTCCTACCTACGTTGATCACGCGGTGCCAAATTTCACGGCCAAACGTAGCTTTGATCACGTGCCAAGTTGTGGTTTCTAGAAAGGGAGCCGCGAGTGCAATTGCGGTAAATATATACACTCATCATAAATATAGACACGTTATCAGTCTTGCTAGCAATTTGCTTGTCGCATGCTATTAAATTTAACAGAGTATTATGTGACACATGAATTCTAGATATCTATATTACAAATTTATCAAACAGATTATAACTACAATATTTCAGCAACATTGTAATATTTCTACAATATACTAGAATGTTACAATTGCAGATATAATCTGTATTTGCTGAGTAATTACGTCAACATGTCTATATTTGTCACTTATTATAAGTTTGTCACTTATAATAAGCGACAAATGAAATCGTGATGTCATTTAGTCCTTATGCGATATCATTATGACTTCTGTGTTCTACCTTTCTCTCTCCTCTCTCTCTTTCTCCATGACTCAATATTTTAAATTTCCCTGTGTTTCAAACAGATTCAAATTGGAGAAGCCAAATCAATATATTTCTGCTGTTAATAATGTATACTGTCGAAAGTAATAATCGAACCGTACGCTATAGTATTTCGACTGCGGCTCATTGTTAGCCAAACGACGAGAGAGCGGGAAGCGATTCTTTCGGAAATGACGTTCCGTATACGGACTCGCTTCCTTCATTCCGCATAGATAGATGGCCGGAGATACGCGGGCGCTTCTCAAGAAATTTAACAGGTTTCTTATCTCGGTCGTTACATTAACAACGTTATTTAACGTCGTCAAATCAGTCGCTTTCCCACGAGGTTCTTTTTCGCACGCCGCAGCGCGGCGGAATCATCATTGTCCTCGTCATCGCGTTTCTTACGGCGAGCGAACGGCGGAAATTCTCTCATTGTCAGACGCGAAATCACGCGCGAATGTATTGTATCTATACACGCGTGACGCGTGCAACGCAGGCGGAACGCAACGCTCGTCGCTAGGGACGACCAGTTACAGTGTCCTTTTTCCTTACCAAGGAGGTGTTCTTCGCAGCGACGTACGCAGCCAAGAATGTCTTCCAACGGTGGAGTTCGGACTCCTCGGATTTCTACAAAGTCAGAAAATACAAATGCGATGATTGCGGGCCCGGTCTGCAAAGTCAGCAGAAATTTTTTCGCGATATAAACGAACTCGTGATTTAAAGAGGAATTTTCATTTCGTGCATCGTAAATATATGATTGGTGATCAAAAAGGACGCTAAGAATAAATCTGTTTCAAATATTTTATCTACGTTAAGATATAATTAAATCTTTGTGTTAAGATTTTTATTAAACTGAGACGAAAATTCTTTTGAAATAATATTGAAAATATAAGTACAATATAATTTATCGAAAATTTTGGTTTTCGATATTAAATATATTATTTGAAATATATTATCTGAACTTCAAATAATCTTTCCTGCAAAAATTTTTCTTAGAGCTGTTTACATATAATTTTTTTAAAGTTCTCTATAAATTTTAGAATTTTTGTATAATTTTATACAAAAGATGTGTAAAAAAAATCTGAGAAATTTTCAAAAAATTTTTCAGATTTTTTAAATACAAATTGAAACACTTCAGAAATGCTTAAAAAATCTACATCTTTTCTATAATTTTTTTATATGTAAATTCTGAAGTAGTTTAAGTTTTTTTATGTTTTATAATTTTCAAAGAAAGGTATTTTTCAAATGTAATCATAAATTTAAAATATAAAAAATTCTTACAAATATTACGATATATAAGAATTTTTTTCACCAGGATAATGAAAATCTTTCTTCCATTTCCTCACGTAATTTTTCAAACTTTTTCATAATTTTTACATAATTTTATAACTTTTTACAAAATTTCAGATTTTTTGGAACACTTTACAGAAAAGCTGAAACTTTTTCTAAAATTATTTATGTATTTGAAATCTGAAATATTTAAAAATTTTTTATTTTATAATTTCTATAAAGTAAAATCTAAAGAAATTTAAGATAAATTTCAGAAATTTTCATACATTTAAAATATGGAAAAAAATTCTTAAAAAAATATGAAATTTCAGAGAACTTTTTTCACACCAAGACTTGCATCTTGTGAGTGCGCGAATATTCTGGGAACAAAACCAATTATCTATGAACGAACGCGTCTTTATCTCGAATTAATTTTGCATAATAATTAAGCAGCTTCTTTTCCTTACGCGATGTATTTTAAAGTAGCAAACAGAAAACGCACACGCTAATCAAGAGGAGCTTTGCATTGTATGTTAAAGGTCGCGCGTTAACATATTGGCTTTTTACAGGAAAAAAAAGTGTGGTGCAATTAACCGGAAATCGCGTCACTATCGCGAATACTTTGGCGCAACACGGCATACATGCGAGTACCGCAAAGTGCAACTCTTAAAAATACATTTCCATTATTATGTAATCCGTGTGTGACTTGCACATACGGACGGCAAGTCGGTATTGTTCCAAGGTGATAGACATTGTATGCAGCGTAGCTCTTACGTAAACTCATCCCAGCGTAAAAATGCACGGGCACGCTTCGGACTGTACTGCACTCTAACGTTTTTAGCATCTGCGCCATGGTATTCAGCGTTCGGAAATAACCCACTATATTCCGCGACTGATGTTACGTATCGAGCGAATAACGGCAGGAAGCAATTGACATAATAGAAGACCCGCTTTTGCTCTCTTCTTGCCCGGATTAGAATTATAAAGCAATTCCGAATAATGTTCCGATATTCAAATGTGCGTCATTGCGACTCGAGATTTTTCAAGTTAATTATTATAAAATACGAATAACTTTAAATCAAGAAAATAATTTTTTTTTAAACCTTTTAATATTCACGATCAGACATTCTTACATATAGAAATAAAAAAAATTTAATTTAATTATTTTCTAATTTTCATTTATTTATCCACATTGTGTTTTGTAAGTCGGTGATTCTTTCTTTTTTTCAAATTCTCATTTAAATAATTTGAAATTGAGAAACACTTTACAAGAAAACGAAAATTTCAGAAACAATCTCTCGTTTTGATAATCTAATATTTTCATATTATAAATTCTTAATATATCATTCTTTGTATGAAGCAATTAATATCAAGCCCAGACATCTTATACAGAAATAAATTAAAACTTAATTAATTCATTTATTATTTATTAACTAATTTATCATAAAAACCTATTCTTTCTTTTTTTTAACTTTCCATTTACATATTGTTAAATAGATTTATTTAAATCGGCAGACTTTGTTAGATCGTCTCTGCCGATTACTTTCAACAGACATGAAATTACTTAAACGCTGAAACGTTAAACAGATTGCATTCTATTAAATACTCTCGTACAGAGGAACGAGTATGAAAGAAAGTTAATCATCCTGCAAAGTAATCTCGCGTTGCGGTATATCGCTTCCACAGAGAGCAACATTTCACAAACGAGGACGTCGGTCGGTCTGGCTTACCTGTGCGAATTGGTGCCGGTCGGCGAGGGCGCGGAACTGCTGCCGCCCGGCGACTCCGGTCCGTCGTCCACCGAGTCGCCCTCGACGGAGCCGAAGCCCTCGTAGCTCTCCTCCTCGTCGTGGCAGCCGATCTTGATCGCGGTGGTGTTGGTCGTCGCGGCCTGGTGATCGTCCGGGCTTGCGGAATACCGTCCCGAGTCCGTGAGGGTCGAGCTGACGAGATTGTGCAGGTCAACCGACATGGAGAGCGAGGGCGGTCCGCTCTGGTTCCACTCCCGTGGGACGTCGACGCCGTTCGTCGCGCGGCCCTCGTCTTCGCGCGACGTCGCGTTGCCCGCACCCCCGTCGGCCACGCCGCCGCTACCGTTAACGGTGGACGTGACGTTCACGCTGGACGTGCGGGAGCTCACCATCCTTGGACCCGGCGATGGGCCCCGTCGGAGTGTCCGCGCCGACGAAGGGCGCACTCATCCGTCGCCACTGGCGCTGCCGTTGTCGCTGTTGTTGTCGCCCGACTCGGTCGTTGCTGCAGAAACACCACGTCCGTGAGTCAGGCCCAAGGTATGCCAGGAGCGCGTCCGCTTCGAGAGTAACTAGCGGTGTGGTAGACGGGAGAGAAAGGGAAAGAAAGAGAGAGAGAGAAAGAGAGAGATGTGCGAGTCGAGTCGTTGCCCGCGAGAACTTCTCCTCTCTCATTCTCCCGTCCGAGAGAAGTCGGGGTCGAGGTAAACTTGTACGTTGCGACGCTTTTCACATATGATTTAAATCGGTTTCAAGGAAGAGAACGTGTCGCTATCTTTTATTCGAGATAATGAGAGATATACAGAAGCGAAACGCCCGCGATGCCGAGTTTGGAGTGCAGCAGAGTCTTGTTCTACGTTTCGCTGCGTTCATTGTATTAATCAGTTGTTACGTCAGTTCCTGACAAGATTGTGCAACAAAAGGAACATATATGATATTCCACAACTTCCAACGTCGATTATATGTTAACGAGATAATACAATCGTGTGGAACGGAATGATAGCGAGATCTCTCAGCAAATCTCGCGTTTTAATAACTGAATAATATGCGAAATTAAATTCACACACAATATTAGATAACGTAGATAACGTAGAAATTTAAAAATCATTTTTCAAATTTTATATTTGAATATTCTAATCAAAAAATTTTCATAATATTTCACAATAATTTTAAGAATTTTTAAATTTTAATTTATTATATTTTAAATTTATAAAAATTTCTGAAAAAATATCTTAAACTTCTTCAGATTTTATAAGTTCTATAAAATACCTTAAAAATCTTACTATTAGAATGTTTTACATAAAGAATTTTAGAAAAGATGTAGATTTCTAAAAAGTGTTTCAATTTTTATGAAAATCGGAGAAATTTTCTAAAAAGTTATAAAATTATACAGAAATTCTAAAAACTTATACAAAGAATTCTAAGAAAAATTTTCACCAAGATACTCACCTAAGAATTTAAGCTATCAAATTTCTCTGAACTGTATAAAGTACACTATACAAATTTTAACGCAAAGTAACATAATCTGCATGGATTGCAGAAAATGCAAAGCGCCGCCGTTCGCAATTTACGCAAGGGGAATCTGGCCCCCTTTCCGATTCCTTGCCATTTTCTTGCACAACGCCTGCTGACATCGACTGGTAAGCGGCTCGCGGTCATTATGCTAATGAGGTAAATACAGACATTGCCTGCCTAGGAATGGAACGACGGCGAGATCTCCCGTGATATCTCCCAGTTTTATTAAACGTGTGCATTCTAGGGACGCGGAGTAGGGGAAAAGCGTGAGAAAACTGCCAGGGAAGTCACGGTACAGTGAGTGTCGAACCCGCGAGAGAATTGTCGAAGGAGAGACCGACTCGCCTCGACGATGAATTATTTACGCGATTATCTACGTGATTACATAGTTGGGAACTGCTTACAATTAGTCTTATCTCTATCTCTTCCCCGCATTCCCCGCGTGACTCACGGTTTCATTGAGCTGGCGAAGCTAGCGAGGATCCCATATGCGCCGAGGGATTTCGGGCAGGTGCGTGCATGCACGCGTTGAACCTTCGGCGTATAATAATGTGACGTAAACACAGGCTTATCGGGCTTATCGAAAAATCCGGAATACACCGCCAGTTTGTTTTGTTTCGAGGCACGTCAGTCAACTGGGAGGGACAAAGCGGTTCTTACTGTTTAACGCGAAACCGGTGAATCAGCGGTGCGAAGATATAAAGAAAGGATTTTGCTAAATAAAATGAAACAATGAGCGTGATTGAAGATCAAATGTATAGCGTTCTATTTTGACGAGTAAACTTTGACGAAATTGCTATCAGTAAATCAGCGATGTGAAAGCATAAAGAAAGGATTTCATTAAATAAAATGACAATAAATGTAATGAAAGAAGTCTTAGAATATTTCAGAATTCACATATACGAAGAATTCCAGAAAAGATGTAGATTTTCCTCAGCACTTCTGAAAAGTGCTACAATTCGTTATATAAAAAAATCTGAAAAATTTTCGAAAAAGTTATAAAATTATCGTATATAGAAATTCTGAAATTGACATAAAAATTTTGAGAAATTATATAACTGAAAAATTCTAAGAAACAAAATGTTCGCCAAGGTATAAAATTATACCTGAAATTCTGAAAAATTAGGTATACAGTAAATTCTAAGAACAATTTTCACCAGGATAATTATACCTCTAGAGAATTCAAACTATCAAATTTCGGAAATGTATAATGTTCTACAAATGACTTCGATGAATCAAGTTAATAGAGCCTCTCATTAACTCGGTGAATTTTTCATTTTAAGATAACAAAATATTAATCGTGTTTAAATTACGAGATAACGAGAACGGATATTTTTAGAAAATTAAGCCTGTAATAAGTATTCGAATGACAAGATCTTTTTATTTGCTTAAAGCGGGGCTTTATTGTCTCAAAAATTTCAGATTTAGACAAAAGTAATATTAAAAATTAATGTTAGAAGCCAGATATTAGTGTTAAATCAAACATATTGAAAGATAATATTAAATGTAAAGAAAGTGCAGCTATAATAATAGTCTTTCCATAAATTCCCGCTTAAGGGAAAGTTGAATGTAATTCTACCAGAAGAAGCTGTCATTAAAAACCGCGGTTATGGAGCAGTCTGTGGAACGTTAAGGATATACAAGCTGCAACGCGTTGTACAACGGCATATAGCGATACGGATGATAGTGTGGCGTCGTCGGCAGATCATTTTATCGATCAGACGAACGGTACCGTTTCACGCACATGACTCGCGATTATCCATGTGTGTCATGTGTTGCCGCGTGTGTCGTAAAAGTATGGCTGTCAAGTTTAAAAGAGCTTTTAACGCGTGATAATCGTAAGACGATATAAATGGAGCACTGGCAAATATTCCTCCTTCTGTCTCTCTTTACAGTTGCCTGTTCTATATTTATCATGGTATCACGGAAAGTACAGCCGCGTACCGTCTAGAGAAGGAAAATTATCATACGAGAACGAGTTCGAAGTCGATAGTGTATTCTAGGAACAATAATATTATCTCGGAACATTCTAATGAAAAAGAGGGTAAAAAAATCATATTATTTCTCCACCTTTCCTTCTTTCCTTTCGATCCTTTTGGACAAAAAACAAAAGCTGCATGCGTTTCTTAAAGATTCAGGATTTCTGAATGCTTCATTTAAATGTAGGAATAAAATGCGAGGCTGTTTTAATAAATATCGATCGATTTGACGTCGGAAATGATGTCCCCAATCAACGTTGAGGCGCGAAAAACGAGGATAATCGGGAAGATTAAAGATTGACCGTACAGTTGTTGTACAAAAGTATTACTTCAAGTGACTATTTTGAGAGCCTGTCGCGGCGCGAGAAGATTAACGGACCGGCGAGTTTCTTCTTATATTACAACGGATCGGAAATCGAAATCGGATCAAGGAGATTCGTGCATAATGTATTACGCGTAGTACGGTATAGTATCATACGTTTATACTTCCACATAAATATATCGCGTTTACTGACTAGGAACCAATAACTGCGCACTGTATATATGCGTTCGTTTTTTAAACACGTTGCAATGCTTGGTCGCATTTACACCCCGATAGGAATATTGTAAAAATATTGGCACAATAATGGCACCATTATATGACAAAAATTTCGTAATAATTGTGCTAAGTCGCTAAGATGATTAGCCATAACACAGTTTTGTCAGAATAAAATTTTTGCATAATGTTTGTCAAAAATTAGACAAATTTAATTTGAAATATAAGCATGTTATAATTATTGCAATACTTACAAATATTAAATACTTATAATCACAATCTTTAATATCTGTTATAATATAATACAGCAATATTTGTAGCATTCTCATACATAATATTTGTATTTTGTTTTTTCTTATTAAGTTAATTAAATATCTACTGTTTGATTCTTCTATTTAAATTTTATCATGCTAAATGAATAATACTTCATGTTTTAAAATTTCTACATTAGAATTTAGGAATAATTGTGCATATATATGATTTGATTTAATTCTTTTATATGCGCACAGTTATATTTCTAAATGTTTTAAACATTACTAGCTAAAATATTTTTCTCAATTATATGGATAATTTCTTTTCAAATTTAATTTGGCAAACCTGCCGCTAAGATGATTTGCCATATCATTACTGTTTTGTCGAAATACTATTTTGAAATAAATTGCACAAACAGCTATCAATATTTTATAAAAGATCAATACTATTTTATGTGTTTTTGTAATTATATATATATATATATATATATATATATATACACTCGACAGCAAAATTAAAGCATCACCCATTCTGATCACTAAAAATAGGCAAATTTTAAGAGAGTGTAATTTCGTCA